AATCAAGACATCTCTATGCAAACGAAGTAGGATCATCGAATACAGATGAACATAAAGACAAAGTAAACTTTGAGGTAGTGTGATTATAAATGAATTTGTGAGCTCTCTCTCTCGAAGTGTATATTTAATTAGTCCATTGTCTCTCATTTGTTTAATTTTATTTTTGAATAATTCCATTTATGTAATTTTATTTACTTTTATTATATTAAATCTTTTATTATTTGTTTAAGAAATGTCTCTTATTTGTTATCTGAATCAAATCCATATTATTTCCGAACGCGTGTTAATTAACTTAATCCACGTGTTATAAAACTGATTAACTGGTGTCGGGAACCTGACGTAGGAACGAAGAATTGTGAAATCCTTTAGTTCCGCTTTAGATTTAATTAAACTGTAAGTCCCTCCACCCTCGATTTTCCTTGAATTAGGAAAAGCCATTCTTTTGGACGACCGAGAACTAGTTTCACCAACTAGCCGCCGAATAAGTGGTACCAACAATCCTAGTGGAAAGGTACCCCCGGTTAGAATCTCACACATGCTAGAAGAAAAGATGATGATAATTCACACTCCTTAACAATGTGTATTGTATAATTTTCATTGAATAAACATTATACACAAAATATTTTGAGTATTTTTTCTGCATGAAACACATTAACATATTTTACATTAATTTATATGGGAAAAATTGTTTCGCTTAATGAGTGTTTCACATTACAAGTAACTGATTCTGAGATACAAGATTCTGGAACAAATTATGCTCGTTAAGCGAGGTTCCACTGTATTTGTATTATAGATAACAGAAAACTCATCTCTACCTCTAACAGTTTATTTTGTGAGATGCCATGTTTACAGATTATATGATCTGTATTTTTCTCTTTCTCAGGTAGCTTGAATGAAAAGAACTTACACAGAACTGGCAGTTACTCAGCAAGATATGCATAGGAGTTTTCTAAGGTAAACCAACCAGATGACACATGCCTAATGACTACACACTTCTATAATCATCCCAAAAAGAAAAAGATGTGAGCAAGTAGAAAATGTCCTATAACCAAAGTTTTGACGTTTGTATCAAATGACTCAAGAAATTTAGAAAAAAATTGTGGCATTTATGGATACTGTAGATACCAATAACAACAAGAGCTTTGCTCATTTCTTTTTGAACAATCATAATTAAAATCTACATTACATTAGGGACATCAGTCAAAAATTGCAAGAGTTTTTGTGTACACAGGATTGCATATTAGAAGCTATAGCATGCTATAGCTTCTAATATGCAATTAATAATTAATATGCATATAATTAATATGCAATTAATAATATGCAATCCTTAACATTGTTTGCATCTGAACGTTCAAGAGTAAATGACTACATCTGAGCAACTATTTTTAAAAAATAATTAACCAACTGGCTTCAATGCAATTCAGTAGTTGTGTTATTTACTGCTGCTGTGCATACAATAATCCTGTTACTTATTTCATTTTCTATTGTGTTGTGAAAATGTAAACCCAATGCATCAGAAATTATTTGTGAAGATTTTATCTTCCTGTACTTAGAGTCTGCTGCAATTTTTTAGTCAGGAAGCATAATTGGAAGATTATTACGAAAATTGTCTAAAAAAGAGTACTGCAAATGATAGCTTGCAACTGTTGTGCACCATATAGTTTCAGCAATACTAAATAAGACCAATCTTTTGCCAAAGATGCCACTGTGGTTTGACATTGTTTAAGTTATTTCAATTTTTCATCTTCTGAATAATATGATTTAATAGTAATTAAATCATATTGCTCAGAAGATGGAAAATTGAAACAAGTTAAACAATGTTTGATGGTGTTTGTTTAATGCATATTTTATTAAAGCATCTCTTCTGTCAGATTAACATCAATTTCACATGTACTGCAGTAAGCATTGTATTGTCTTATCATTAGTTAATGTTTCATTCAAAAAATGTGCCTGATGATCAAGTCCAATCAAGTTGTTTCATGATCTGTAGTTTCATAGATCCTATGTTATAAAATACTAATTTCATTCCACATGATAAAGCATGTGGAATGAAATTAGTATTTTATAACATAGGATTATGAATAGTAATTACCATAATACGTGGTACGATCCAAAAGTTTGAGGACTGCAGTAATGTATGACAACAAAAGCATGTATTTGAAGTTACAGTGTATGAAATGGATTCTATCAAACCATCTATATGTGTTCAGGTTGGTTTTGCCCATGTCACCTGATTAAACCATTGTTTTCTTTTAGAGATACAGTTGTCCCTTGATAATCCGACAGGTATGGGACCAAAGGTGTGTCAGATTATCAAAAGTGTCCAGATTACTGAAAATAATTACATATTTCGCATTGTTTTGCTAGCAGTAACTTACAATATTCTCTACTCCAACTGTTCGAACAGAACTGCTCACATAAAACACACGAAATGTGTGTCATCGTGTAAAAATTGGATGGGGAGATTCACATCGCAACATGCTTCTGTGCAAGCAGACACGTAACGGGGACGGGTACCTTGACGGGAGGTGCGTCGGACTACTGAGCATGTCGGATTAAAAAACGTCGGACTATAGAGGGACAACTGTAGTTACCTTTGTTTTGCGACATAATAAAAATGGAGTTTCAAGAATAGTGCTGCAACATTAAATTTTGTCAGCATTTAGATAAAACACCTATGGAGACTTTAAAATTGCTAAGAAAGGTGTACAATGATTCTACCATGGCAAAATCAAAGGTGTACAAATGGCATTGGCATTTTAAAGAGGGCCGAGAATCCATTGTAGACAATGAATGCTCTGGCCAACCTTTGACTTCACAGAACAAGGAAAATGTTGAGTTGGTCTCTCAATGTGTTTGCAAAGATTGCCACCAAACCCTTGAAAAAATCACTGCGGCTACTCACTTATCAAAGACTAGTTGCCAGCATATTTTAACGGAAGATCTTAACATGCACCGAGTGGCTCAGCACATTGTCCCTTGGCTTTTGACTTCTGAACAAAAGGAAGAACAAATGAAAATATTGTGTGGTTTAATCGACAAAGCCAATAAGAATCCAGATTTTTTGAACCACATCATAACAGATGATAAAACGTGGTGTTATTTATTTGATATCCAATCAAAACGTGCTTCTTCAACATGGAAATCACCCTCATCACCATGATCGAAAAAATTCTGGCAGAATCGGAGCAAAGGGAAAGTCATGATGGAGGTGTTTTTTGATTCTCAAGGAACTGTTCTTCAGAATTTATTCCTGAAGGCAGAACAGTAAACAAGGAGCATTATCTAGACATTTTATGTTGTTTGAGGAAATCCATTCATCGTAAACGGCCACAGATCTGGTGAAGTTGGAGACTGGTACCTTCTGCATGACAATGCACCTGCACATCGGTCCCAAATGATCACACAATTTCTTGCCAAAACTCAAATTAATGTGCTTCCACACCCCGCCTATTCACCAGACTTAGCTCCGTGTGATTTTTATTTGTTTCCATCAATGAAAAAGCATTTGTAGGGATGCTGTTTTGTGTCATCAGATGAGGTGAGAGCAGCATCGCAGGAAGCATTACAGGAGGTTTCAAAAAATGGCTTCCAGCAATGCTTCCAGAAGTTATACAAGTGCTGGCAAAAGTGTATTGTTGCCCAGGGTGATTACTTTGAAGGTGGTTGTGCATTGGCAATATAAACTTTTTAAGGTAAGGAATTTTAAACCAAGTCCCCAAACTTTTGGATTGTACTATGTATAACATATTACACAGTGTCCCTATTTCAATATTCAATCTAACTTAAATGTACGATTCAATTTTTCAATGTTTTTCACACTTTTTGATAATTGTTCATACTTTTTTGCTTTTTTCACACATCACTATGTTTTTCCCATATTTTTACATCTGCTAATAATATTGCTGTAACTTCTATAGGAGTTACTAAATTAATTCATAAAATCAGAAATAGACACCCTAAACAATCTATCAATCTTGACAGTCAAATTTACTGGTTTACAACTAAAAGAAAAACATTAAAATGTTTAAAACATGCTTTCACTGTAATAAATAACATTCTAATCTAATGATTCTTAACATATGTAGCAAAATTTTATTATATTATATCAACTACTTGCGAAAATTACATGCAAACCAGGATATTTATCATAGTGAGTAGCATTCAAAATGTCAGAAGCTAAAAAAGCACAGTTGGCTAATTTAAGAGTCAAGTTCAATAACACTAGGAATGAGTTAACCATTTTCCATCTGTAAAAAAACAAATCCACAAATATAAATTGTACTGGTACATAAAACTACCCCACTGTACATCTCAGTAGCTTAATTGATTACAATATGTAACATATTACCAAAAATCTTAATACAACTATCTTCATACAACATTTTCTTCCTTTCTAAATCTTAGATTTTTTTTTCTTTAGCTACTATTTGTTACATAACATTCAATGCTTTTATGTACAGTACATATTTTAAACTATTGTTAGAAATATGAACCAATTTTATATTTTAACTAACAGGGTTGCAATTTCCAAATTGCACACATATACATTAACATTGTTGTCATCTGGCCTTAGTTACTCTCAAAAACTGAGTTATATATATGAAAATCAAGACCAAATATGAAAAACTTAGAGACTGGAGGCAGCAATTAATATACTTAACTATACATAAACTTCTGATCTAGAACAGAAGTCACATGATTTCATTTCAAAATTTTCTTGTTTACAGAGTTAGACAGATGACTGGCATGACTTGATTGTTATCTGAGAAGTATGATGTACAGGGGCAAGACATTACTAAAATGTAGACCAGATATGAGAAGCTTAGGAACCAAAAACTCCAAATAAATATATATGAACTTCCAGTCTAAACCAACAGTAATGCAATTTTTTTTAATTAAAAGAAAATTAAAAATTGCAGCCCAGCATTATGACAATGTCACAATAAATAACTGCTCATTATGATTTATAAAAAGTTTATTTAAAAATTTATACTTACTAAATAGGCATATCTGTTCTTTCTCTTTGCAAAACACATAACAATTATACCAGTTACAATGAGCTGTAAAAAATATATTTTATATAAATATTTTAAAGAAAAAAAAAATAGAGGAAAAGGTGGTATTATGGAACACTGTGGGTATTATGGAACCACTCCATTTCAAACTGATAATAAAGGTGAACTGTAGCGGATTGTGGCTGAACTGCACTAGGCAGACATCCATAGCAAGGGAAAAACCCGTTTCACTTCAGTTAAACAGTTGTCCGTATTTAATCAGCAGTTTTTTTCAAAATTTGCAAGTTTTGAATGCTAAGTGAATTTAATTATTTTTAAAATATAAATCGTGTAGTTGTAGGTTCACTGGTGCATGTATTCCGTTCCAGAGACTTAGGGGTACATATTAATCTGTGTGATGTTCACGTTTTTTAAATTTTGGTCTTGACAGACATAAGTTAATTCAAGATGGCGATGCGTGAAATACGGACCCCATTGGTGCTTTTACAGTAATATGGAACTCAACTTTTCTGAACGCTCTCTTTGCAAGCAGACATACGTCCAGAGCAATTTGTGAAAAAGACACTAGGTAGAAAGTCAATTCTTCCTGAGAATATTGAAAAAGAGCTGCTGGAATATATATTGTTGATGGAGGTCATATTTTTCTATTATAAAAGCATTTTTTCGATAAAATACATTGGAGTAAATAATTTTGTAATTATTTAACATTTTTTGTACTTTCCTATTTGTTTTTGGCTACATTAAAGCATTTTTTGAAAATATGCAGTAAAGTTCCATATTCCCACACGATTTTCTCTAAGCCTACTTTCTGACTTTTTGTACAGAAGCCTTCAAAAACCATACAAACATTAGCAAAAAATCCAATTAGGAACATCTAGTTTAACAGTTACCAGTAGTTTTCGTAAAAAAAATGTGGGTGTAGTTATGATACCTTGTTTACAATTCACTAAAATGTAATTGGGGTTCCATAATACCACCTTCTCCTCTACATAATTTATAGGCACAAAATGAAATATATAATATCTGACCACACTTAAAGAAAACTGAGATAAATTAATATTAGAACCATAAAATATCTTCCACTAATTATTATTACAGGCAGGATTAACATAAATGGAAAGGCTAATGAACAGTAATAAATACACCTTTTAAATTCCAACAACTTAAATTTATTTGAAATAAATGTTTTCAGTCTTGTTTAAAAGCCTTTCTCAGGCTGCTCTTAATAATACAACAAAATATGTACAAGAATAAAAAGAAAACATTTTTAAATTATAGAACATTGGTAGATTGTTAGAACAAATAATTCTTTATAAAATTTAGAAATTAAAAGTCAAAATAAAATAAATAACAAAAACAAATCAAAAAATAAAATTGAACAAGAACAAATATCTGTAGGAACTTCGTCAAAGAATTTCATATTAGCAACCTCCAAGCAAAAGAACTTGTTCCAATATCCTTTTAATTTATAGATTTAACTCTTCATGATGATTTATAAATAGAGATCTAGTTCTTCTAGCTGATTTCAGAGTTATTATACACTAGTCTTATGATCCTTGTCCTTAAAGGTTAACTTCCACATCCAGCTCCATCACATAGACAGCTAAGACAGTGTCAAATTGTCTTTTCCAGATTGTCACTTTTGTTCCCCGATGCTCTTCTGAATAAATTTAAGTTGCTAGAATTTAAATGTTGCATTTTATTACTATTATTACAAGATGTGTTTTTTAAGTATTTTGATATTAAAAAAACACAACTGCATTTTTTAAAATAATTTTATTCTTACATGAAAGCCTGTACAGTCGACCCCCCTATAAGATATAGATACGTTCCAATTTATTAGGAATCCGATTTCTTACAAGTCGTTCCAATCACAGCCCGACTTGTAGTCCAATTGTAGTCCGTAAACTTGACACCCCGTGTCAAGTTTACGGACTACGGCTGATTGAAAGGTTTTCTTCCATAAAATTAATCGATTCTACACTAATCCGACTCAACATTTCCAAAATACGTATATTTTTTCGTAGTTTTATAGGAATCGTAATTATAGGGACCGTAACTATAGGGGGGTCGACTGTAATTTAATCTACTTTTCAACATAATTTCCTCCAATATGAAGGCACTTTTCATACCATACAACTAGTTTTTGAATTCCATCCTCATATACACCTGCCACCTGATTTGCCAACCACTGCAGCACAGCGTTTTGACATCGTCGTCATAGCACTGACTGCCTAGATGCCTTTTCAAGTGGAGGAACAAGTGGTAGGTAAAGAGCCACAGAACAATGTCCTATAGGTAAAGGCTCAAGGACATTATTCTGTAAACAAAACAATTTCTTGTAAACTAAAAAATGCATGACTTTGAAATTTGGCACATGCAGAGATGACAAATCACAAGATTTTTCAAAATCATCAAATTTAAGAAATGGCAATTATGTGCAATATAATTGCATGTAAACCTTTAGTGGAAAATTTCTGCCTTTTCACAGCCAAGCTAAACAGAAGCTGTCAACAAAGAAAACTTGTAAGAAGAAATTGTGAAAAATCAACAATTAACACACAACATATACATAAGCATACACACAAAAAATAAAATTAAAAAAAAAGCACTGAAAACATATGAGCATAACATGAGAGCAAGAGACAACTTGGGTACACAACAGATTGCATTTATGCTTCAAGCACATTTTTTCACTGCAAATACAGTTTGAACTTTGAAGCATTGTTCAAACTCTGTATATATATAAAACACATATCATCAGAATCAATGTTGTTATATGCAAACTGAATTTAATTACATTGAATTATAAAACAAAATTATTTTTATGGTAATTTTATTAATCTATGCTTATGAGAAAATTTTTTATAAGTCTAAATTTACAGAAGTTGCATAGTTAAATAAATTAAGGATTGTCTATATTCATTAAATCAGATACACACTAATGACATAATCAATAAAGAATAAAATAAGTTTAGATGTTTTGATTACTTACCACAACTGCAGGAACATAAGTAGGAATGGTTTCAAAAAATTGAAGAGAGGATGTATATGATCGTAAAATAAAATAAATACAAATTAATATTATTCCAAGGAGAACAGAAGCACCTCCACATATCAAACATAAAACAACATATTTTTTGGTCCATGCTTTCCACCAAGGGATATTACCTAACAGAAAGAAAGTAATAGAATACAGATTATAATATTGTTCTATAAAGCATTTACTTAATACTGCATTATTATATAACAAATTATGTTTTCAACATATCATGGACATGTTAAAAATATAACTTATGTATGTTACATACAATTATAAGCTTTAAACAGTTACTATTAATTTTAACATAAAACTAAAAGCAATATTTTTCAACCAATAATTACACTTTTAATATATTATCATCATCAACCATTAAAATGTAAAATTAATTTTTAGAAGTTTATTTTTTTTTTTGTGTAACTAATAAAGTTCAAGAATGAATCAAAAAGAAAAATACGTTAATGTATTAAATCTATATGATTTGGTATTACTAAATAATTGAATAAAATCAATTTGAGAATTTATTTCTTGAATATATTAAGTTTTATACTTTTTGATTATTAATGCATGTCAGAACACATACAAGAGCTGTTCGGAAAGTTCGCGGCCTCAAATAGAACAACAAACAAAATAATGTTAAAACTTTTTTTATTTTTCAATGTAGTCTCCTTTGTTAGCAATGCACTTATTCCAGTGATGTTCTAGCTTTTTTATGTCATCACAATAGGTTGATTTGTCAAGGTGTGCAAAATACTCAAAATACTCTACATTCACTTCAGAGATGACTTCGTCATTTGAGTAGAATCTCTTTCCAGCCATGAATTTTTTTAGGTTTGGAAAAAGGTGGAAGTCACTGGGGGCCAAATCAGGTGAGTATGGTGGATGTGGAACTAATTGGAAGCGAAGTTCATTTATCTTTTGTTCAGTGATTCTGGCGGAATGTGCAGGTGCATTATCGTGGTGGAACAGAACCTTTTTCTTCTTCAAGTGTGGCCTCTTTTCTTCGATTTCTTTCTTCAGTTTTTCCAAAAGTTCACAGTAATAGACAGCATTAATGGTCTTTCCTCTTTCTAGGTAGTCAATAAAGATGATGCCTTTAGCATCCCAAAAAACCGAGGACATCACTTTCCCCGCTGATGGAACTGTCTTTGCCTTCTTTGGTGGTGGCAAACTGTGGTGTTTCCATTGCTTCGACTGTTCTTTTGTTTCAGGAGTGTAGTAATGGATCCATGTTTTGTCAGTAGCCACAAACCGACTCAAGAAATCCTGTGGGTTTTTCTGGTAGAAGTCCAAACACTCCTTTGACATCAAAGTGCGAACACATTTTTGCTCAGCGGTCAGCAGACGCAGCACCCACCTTGCTGAGACCTTCGTCATACCCAAATTTTCAGTTAGGATGTAGTGCACTCAGTTGACAGAGATGCCTGTTGTCTCAGCTATCTCATGCATTTTCAAATGGCGATCTGCTAATGCCAAATCATGAACTTTGTCAATATTTTCTTCAATGACAGCAGTTGACAGCCGTCCACTGCAAGGGTCATCTTCCACACTCTCTCTGCCAGATTTAAAAAGAGCTGTCCATTTTTTCACAGTGGTGTACGAAGGAGCAGACTCTCCCAAAACTTCATCCATATCAGCTTTGATTTGAAATGGGGTCAACCCTTTTTTCGTCAGGTATTTTATGACTGCACGAGTCTCCATCTTCTCCATTTTTGACAAAGCATGTGCACACTGACTATCTGCTAAGCTGTTGTGGCAAAACTTTATGACAAATCAAGAGGAAATTGGTATTGTATCTCTAGCAAAGATGACTGAATTATTCCCGCCAAAAATTAAATTGATCGCAGCGCCACATATAGGCAAGGCTGCGAACTTTCCGAACAGCCCTCATAAAATTAATTAGAACTGAAATTTATATATGTTATGGACTAAGTGATTAATAAGGGCATTATTCATTGTATTCACTTTGGGACTTGCTTAAACTGATAACATTAACTCTTTCCGTCACAATTTTATTTTAAGAGGAAAAAATATATAACAGTTTTTTTGGACAGATCTGACCTTGTAGAAAGGTTATATGTATTAAAAAAAATTTAGGGCATTTCTTATGTGTGATTTGCAACAACTCACAATTGTGATGGTTGTGATGAAATGCTAGTTTGTGTATCATACCAGGTGATTATATCAAGCAATTTGAAAAGATATTTACTTTATTTTGGTTTCATAATGAACTATAGCATCACTTCTTTGACATGAAACTTTTTGAAACAAAAAGTTATCTTTTGTAAGACAAAGGTAACGTACATGCCACATTTTTTGCACTTAACACAGCCTCTGCTTTTGCAAGCCCTTGATCCAACATACTAGAGGGTCCTTCACATTCTCAGCAATTGACCAGTGTCCCATCTCATCATAATGTACTGTACAGTACTTCCATGTTAGGTCATGTATACATGGATGTCTCATGGCCTAGCTCCTTTCCTGTTTTGCATAATGTCATATTTGATCAACTCTTCACCTAGCATTAGACAGAATGCAAGCAGATCCAGATTCATTGCAGCTTTGCATTACTTCACTCTTTCTGGTAATCAAACCAGCTATTACAGACCACCAAATCTATGAAGTGGAAGACAAAGTGCAAGTACCACTTTCTTGACTTCAGTAAAATCCTATAAGAAGCCATCACAGCATCTAATCTGTCCACTCCACCCATTGACTGGATATATATTTTCACCACTTCAGGTCTATTCACATCTATCATTTTTTTCTGCTTCCTATCATATCTGTTCACCTTGTCTATTTGTTCTACACCAAAAATCATAGATGCAAATGTCACAATGCTCTTGTCAAAACATCTTGTTGCAACAATATCACTATCTGCTGTGATTCTTGATCATGATTACCTCTGTCTAATTTTGACAACTCTTTCTTAACCTTGAGTGGACACCGGGACAGCCTGTTGGCCCTGAGAGGCACTATCAGAGACAACAGGCTGTCCAAGTGCCACTCAAAAAATTGAAAGAAAAATTGATATGGGCAACTGGCACAGTCATTCATATCAATTTCTTTCAGTGTGCCTAGCACATTCATTGATATGACAAATTCATCAAAAAACAACTGATAATTGAAGCCAGTAGGAATACAATCTAATTTCAAACCCAATGCTCTCATGAAACCAAATTCTTTCACTTTTGCTTCATCATGTTTTCTAGCTGACTCTTCATAAACCACAATAGGCCATACCACTTTCTTCACAATGATGATAAATCTTTATTCCCTAAAGATATGGTTTGCCTTCTATATATTGTTTTAAACTGGGTTGTCCTTTGAAAGGGCAAATTTGCTCATCTATACAAACCTTTTCTTTGATGGGAAGCTGATGAACTCTACTTCTGAATGTTTCCAAAAGTGAACATACCTGAAATGCATAATAATTTTCATCTAGTATTAGTATCCAGCAAATGTTTGATTATTTGTTTGTTTAGTTATGGCAATGCAACACTTGGGTAATCTGCTAAGGGGTGATGTCTTCCGGGAGGTCTTTTTTAAGGGAAACTGGCCCCATTTAGGCGTTACAGACGTGGAGAAAACCCAGAAAACTCCACATGGCCAGCACATCCAAGCAAAGCATGAACCCACGACCAAACTCCCAGTGTTCAGAGAACGAAGACCACTTGGCCACTGGTGGGCCTTATCCAGTAAATAATTAATTTTGTAAGTCTCATTAACCTATCATCCACCAATCAATGCCATTTTTGGCATCAGCATTATTCACCATGTGGAATTGTATACAAAGTTTGAAAAACTTATTGACACTCACTGCAACTGCTAACAAAATCAATCTTTGTTCCTGGTGAACAGAACTGTCTTATTTTTGAAAATCCTAATGCTCAAATAATATGTATTCCAAACAGGGCATAAATTTCTTTGTCCATTGTTTCAATGGATTTTCCATTTTTATCAACTGAATACATATTTGTTTGATTGTCAATTGAACTAATGAGCTATGGAGTGACGTATTTCATAAAATAGCTGAGAGGACTACCAAGAACTACATCTGAAGCTGGATCTGGAAAAGACTATGGAAATACTGTGGCTGGAGGCTGAAAGAGCCATTTTCTCCACTTGACTTTTTGCAATCTACATTGATGTGTGTGGAAAATCGTAAGACTTAGAGGTCTCACTAATTGTAAGTGTAGGTGAATTACCACGTGGGAAAGGATGCCAAGAAACAGTTTTTTGTTCTTTTATAAGTTTATATATATATATATATTCGTACAATTACACTAAGGTCCAATACAATAAGGTCCAATAGGATACAATGGTACACACGTAAAATGTTCTCACCGTTACAATATCATAGTCCTAGATGTTTCACTCCTTGTAACCCAATCCGCTTCGGGAACAAACAAAGAAAAACCAATCCACAATAGAAGGAGCACTTTCGCATTCACCAACTCCTCTATATCACTCGGCACAAGAGTGTCCCCTAACCGGTCAATGTCTGTCTTAAATACCTTTCCCCCTTTCCAGGTTGCCAACCCCCTTATTTCACACGGCTGAAAAATAGCCAAAAAAAAAAATATATATATATATGTACGAATATGTATGAGGCGGAAAGCTACAACCACACATGTGAATGATTATTGTAGCTTGGTGGCATTCAAAGTGTATGGACAGTTATACTGTAGTCATCATTGTCATCAGAATCCTCTTGGCTTTTGCTGTCACCTTGATTGGCAGTAGGATAAGTAAATGATGGGTTATCATCATCATCAAAATTAGATAACTTTTCTAATTCAGACAAATCTCTATTGTCTAGGATATCAAATATTTGGTCAGCTGTCAAGAGGTCCTTATGATGGCTATCTTTTGTACTATTTGCACAAGTTGTTTGGCAACCTGATGGTCCTGGTAAGGTCAAAATGTAAAAATAAAAAAATAAATGAAATAAAAAAACCATGAAATGTCTTGTATGTGAAGCTGCACCACAAAACTTCCAGAAATTCATGACTCTCACAACTGTAAGCCTCCACATTTACACAATCTCTAACTTAAAATTTTTACCTAAGAAATGTGATTGTTTCATATACTTATTCTATTGGGTTGTTCGGAAAGTAAGTTCGTTTTT